GAAAATTAATGTAAGGATTAAACAATAATAATAACAAATGTCAAGATTAGAGGTTCCACTAATGGTATATCAAACAAGTATAGTATAAACTCTTATTATTAAATTGAAAACCACACACAAAGGAGGTTCCAATCAGATTATATATTCTAATTCTATTAATGTGACTAACGCAACTTCAATCAGAATTCATAACCTAACTTTATAATTAAACATTCATATAATATAATATTTTATTAAAATTAAACTAATTACATGTAATTATCGATTCATAATTCTTTTGATATTATATCATATAATATAATTACATCTAAAAATCATCCTAACTCATCTTTGGACAACACATTTTGTTAATTTTGGTAACTAAAAGTATCTTTTTAGGGCATCTTTAGATTCTTCTCGGTGTCTCCTCGATGTAATGGTAGTGAGTGTACAAAACAAAACTTTGGTTTGGCTCTAACGATCATTTTTTTCTTCTTTCTTTCCTCTCTCTCTCTCTCTCGACTTTTATGCCCTATCCTGTAATATTTCAAATCATCCCCTTAGGTTTTATTTGTTTTTAATTTAGTCCCTAATTTTTACGTAACTTATGAAAATCAAAATTTGTTCCACTTTCATCCTAATTTGAATTTTTTTTATTTGTCAGATTTGGTCACCATTCTTTTAATTGCTACTAATATCATTCGAGATAATTTTTATAATTTTATTTTTTTTTTGTGATTTCACCCTCGCTTATTTTTTCCTATAATTCTTTTATTTTTTTTATCCCTTGTTTTTTTTTTTATTTGGTTGGGTTATCTGAGGTTCTTTTTGTGATGTTTTGAAAATAAATAAAATTAGAAAAAAGAAACGAAGCCCTTAAAGGCTTAGAAGTAAGTATAAATAAATAAAGAGAGAGAAAAATAAAAAGCAATCTGGAAATTTAGAGTGAATGATGGCAAAAGAGTAGAAAAAGAGAAAAGAGCGTAGGATAAAGAAAGGAGAAGAGAGTTGGAGAAAATAAGTATAAATGTATGATTTAGGCTTTGATATGCATAAATATGCTTTATTTTAGCTTTAAATTTCTGTTTTGTTGAATATTTTTGAAGATTTTTTTTTGAATTGATTGATGAATTGATTTGAATATTATGGATTGATTGTTACGAGTAATTAGTTATTTAGTTGATTTTGAAAGATTTTAGATAAAAATGATGAATTTGAGTTAGAAATCTTGATATAACATTAGGTGATCTGTGAAAATTCTAGATTTGAGGTTGAAGATAATGAAATTTTAGTTTGGTCCTTTAATTTGTGAAAATTACAGTTTAGTCCCTAAACTTTGAAAAAATTTCAGATTGGTCCCTAGAACATAATCCAAGATTCTAGACAGAATTAAAGATGAATTATGGGCATAATTACAGTATAGTTATGAATTTATGATAATTTTCATTTGGTCCTCCTATTTGACAAAATTAAAATTTGACCTTAAAATTTTGATAAAATTCCAGAATGGTCCTTGAAGTATAATTAGATATTTTGGATAGAATTGAGAATGAATTGTTGGGAAATTTTCTATATATTCATGAATTTATAATATTTTTAGTTTGATCATCCAATTTGATAAAAATTACAATTTGACTATTAAAAATATAATAAAATTCCAGATTGGTCTCTAGTTGTAATGTTAGCTTTTTTAGATTGATTTGATGAATAATTAAAGGTTATTTAGTGAATTATTATCAAGTCTTATTATTTTTTTTTCTTATGAATAAGATTTTAAAAAATCATTTGATTTTTGGGTTTTGGAAAAAATGACTAGTTTAGTTAAAAACAATATATAGGGTTATGGAATTGACTCAATGCTAACATGGTAGTATTAGTTTTTATGCACATTATATCTGAACCCTAGTTAGTAGAGGGAGTCACCAACTTATATGGACTGATCATCCCACAGTACGAAGCCTAATGCTAATTGCATTTTGATTTTCTATCGAGTTTTACCTTATGATATTCTTATTATAGCCTATTTGAGAAACCTTCCTATAAGAACCTAATGCTATAATTATTTATATATTTCTCATTGTTATATTACCTCGTGTATATATATATTGAACGTTATCTATTCACTGAGTTGTTAAACCTACCCCCTCATTATTTATCTTTTCCAGGTTTATAGCTTGTTAGCGGGTTATTTTGTTAGCTCTTCAGAACTTACTCTTTTGGTTGTAATTAATACTTTTCTTTTTATGTCTAGTTAGTGTTCCACAACTATATATTTGTATTAACTCTTATATTAAGACAATCAAATTATATTATGAAGTTAATTTTATTATTAGTGTTGCATTAAACTCTGATTAAGTTATTTAAATAATAAATTTATATGTAAATTTGGGTTCACATAGGTATGGAGCTTTGAAGGGAGAATCTTATATATGTGCCGGTCATGGATTCGAAAAGCAGTCATGATACTTTTATTTTTTATTTTTTATTAAAAAGAGTTGATTAATTGAATATAGTCAGATATTCCCTTTATTGTGTTTTATTCGATTTTCTTTTCTAGTGAATCATGTATTTTTTTTTTTTATCTCATCTTGCATCCTTTAGTCATGAAATTTGAACCATACCAACAAGCTCTTATAATCATGGAAGATGTTCATGGTGGAGTTACAATGGATCTCAAAAAATCTTTTCTTTCTTTTCTTTACATGTATAATATCAACGACTTGTGTTTTACTTAATTATTATTAGGTGTGTTTTTATCATTAGTTATCCTTGTCTTTAATTTAAATTATATTATAAAATTAAATGATTTTATTGGATATAATCAGTTTAAGCGCCCAGTTTTTCTTGGTTTTTTATAAATACTATCATCACCTAATTTTTTTTATATTAAGAAAATTTAAATCAACCCCAGTGTAGCGTTAATTTCCAATCTAGTATGGACTTTTTTGACGGATAAATGGCATTGGAGGCATTGAAGTAGTGACTGGACCAGAGCACATTGTTTTTGTTTTTTTTTTAATTATTTCATTTTGGGTGGGGGAGGGGAGAGGAGGTAGAGGCCTGCCTCCTATCTCCTATAATATATAAGGTGACGATCTATATATATATATATATATATATATATATAAGGGTAAAAAAAACAAATGTGAAATAGATGGGGCCGAAAGGTAATTATAAGTAATCATCCTGTAGGGGTCTAAATGAACAAACCCTTAATATAGGGATGCTTTCAATTTATAAAAAATATATGGGGTGATTCGAAGCAGAGAAAATGCATGTGAAGGTTCGCAACGGATTGGAACTACTTATTTCAATTTTTAAAAAATATATTTTTACATGTTTTTTTAATTAGAAATGGACACAAGTCAATAATCTATTGGTGCAATCTTGCTCACTTATAGTCAACTTTAAAGAAGAGGGCACATCCTAGATATTGCATAATGTACAGGGATTCAATCAAATCAAAAACCATTGACGGAATTCAATAAAAAAGTTCTAAGAGTATAGGGACGAAATGATTGGACAAAACACTTCCATTAAAATATCTTATTTCGTTGAGTAAATTGCCATGTTGATTTTAATTTAGAACACAGAACACAGTTGCATGTTCAGCGGTTTTTCTACGAAGGGACGTCCCACCTAACTACGCCTAAGTTTTTCGCAAGAACATTTCCACCATCTATGGCAGCCATCAGTATCAAAAAGTGAGCTACAGGGAAAAAAAAACAATGGGAGTACCAGCGGAACATTGCATTCTTGCGCTTCTTTTTTGCACTTCTTTATTGCTTATTGTAGAAACAGTAACTGCTATTGACACCATAAACACAACTCACTCCATTAGAGATGGTGATACCATAGTTTCAGCTGAAGGAACCTTTGTGTTGGGGTTTTTCAGCCCTGGAAAATCCAGAAACCGATTCGTAGGAATATGGTATGGCAAGATACCTGTCAAGACTATAGTTTGGGTTGCCAATAGAGAGACCCCCCTTAATGATTCATCAGGTGTTTTAAGGCTAACTGACTTGGGAATTCTTGTCATTCTTAATCAGAATGGGACCATAATTTGGTCTTCCAACTCATCGAGATCTGCTTCTAATCCAGCTGCTCAACTTCTGGATTCAGGAAACCTTGTTGTGAAAGAGGAGGGTGATACCCTGGAAAATTCCTTGTGGCAGAGTTTTGAACATCCAACTGATACAATATTGCCAGGCATGAAGCTAGGAAGGAATAGAATAACTGGCATGGAGTGGTACATGACATCGTGGAAGTCACCAGATGATCCTTCCAGAGGTAACTTTACTTGTATGCTTATTCCTTACGGATATCCTGAGTTGGTTGTGATGCAAGGTTCAAAAATGAAGTACAGATCAGGGCCATGGGATGGCCTGCGGTTCAGTGGGATACCTAACTTGAAACCAAATCCCGTATACAAATTTGAGTTTGTTATTAGTGAGGAGGAGATATTCTACAGAGAAAGTCTTGTTGACAAGTCAATGCTTTGGAGGTTCATGACAGATCAGAATGGCGATATCCCGAGCCTCGCTTGGATTGAGCAAACGCAAAGTTGGTTGCTTTATGAAACAGCAAACTCAGATAATTGTGATCGCTATGCACTCTGTGGTGCAAACGGTTTATGCAATATTCAAAGCTCTCCAGTGTGTGAATGCTTGGATGGGTTCGTACCAAAAATTCCAACAGACTGGGCGGTGACAGTATGGTCAAGTGGCTGTGTTAGAAGGACTCCACTTAATTGTTCTGGAGATGGGTTTCGAAAGCTCTCTGGAGTGAAGATGCCTGAGACAAAAGCGTCATGGTTTGACAAGAGTTTGGATCTTGAGGAATGCAAGAGCATGTGCTTGAAGAACTGCAGCTGTACAGCATATTCAAATATGGACATCAGGGGTGGAGGAAGTGGATGCTTGCTCTGGTTTGGTGACCTCATTGATAATAGAAGGTTTTCTGAAAACGAGCAAAATATTTATATAAGGATGGCTGCATCAGAACTAGGTATGAAGTTATCCTCAGACTACAAAATTCAAAATTAATTGTAGTGAGTCATTTATTGACTTGGTTAACTGCCTAAATGATTGGTTCTAATACTAAATTTGCTCAAGCAAAAGGTAACAAAGAAATCAAATGGCATTAAAAGCAAATTTTCTGCCTCCTCTTCTTTCAGGGCATCCTATTGTGGTTTTACAGAACATTACATGACATGAAACATTAAAATTTACGAATCTGTTATCACTTTCTAACATCATAGACTGATTTGATAACTGAAGTGGAAGGATTCCATCAGCTGAAGAAAATTTGCCACCCATTCTAATTAGTAATTACTAACCAAAAACATACAACGGCCATTTTGCATTTCCTGTTGTAGTTTTTTAACTTCAGTTTCTCTCTGTTATGGTGCAGATAATGGTAACGTTGCAGAGATCAATACTAACTCCAATGTGAAGAAAAAAATCATAGTAAGCACTTTGTCTATAGGAATTTTTCTCCTTGGACTGGTTTTGGTCTTGTATGTTTGGAGAAGGAAGCATCAGAAAAAAGGTATATATCTGCACAGCCTGAACAACTAACCACTTCTATCGCCCCATCCCTCGATTTATATAAAGGAGCTCTACCTTATTGAGAATTTGATTTTGAGTATTCCAAGGTGCTCGCAAATTGTTATGCTTTGTCTTCAAGGAATTCGATTATAAAAAAAATAGAGATCTCCCGCATCTTTTTTATTTACACACCAGTTCTGCTTGCAGGAAAAAGTACTGGTGCTTTTAAAAGAAGGTCAGACAACATGCACAAAAAGGAAGATCTAAAACTACCATTGTTTGATTTGGATACTTTAGTTTGTGCAACAGATAATTTTTCTGTTGACAATAAACTCGGAGAAGGGGGTTTTGGGTCTGTTTACAAGGTACAAATCTGTAAACAATATCTTGATGGATTCCAAATTCATGATATAAACTCGGATCACCACTTTACTGAAAAAAGCATTCCGTTTGGAAAGAGTTCCAACAGATGCTGTTTGCTAGTAATATGCAACATCCCATCCTGATTCCCAACTTTCACTAGACAAAGTATGATTTACTTATGATAGCGAGTGATTTTTGGCAGGGAACATTAGCAGATGGGCGAGAAATTGCTGTGAAGAGGCTCTCTCAGAATTCGAGACAAGGAGTTGGCGAGTTCAAGACTGAGGTCGAGTATATTGTGAAATTTCAGCACCGGAATCTAGTGCAGCTTCTAGGATGCTGCTTTGAGGGGGATGAAAAGATGTTAATCTATGAGTTCCTGCCAAACAAAAGTTTGGACTTCTATATTTTCAGTAAGAATCTCTCAAAACCCGTACAAATCCATGCTAATAATCATACTTCTTTATCACCGACTTAGTACTAATACCAAAATCAAGTCTCTGTGTACTGCTTTGAGAAAAGATCTGAAATTAAGTTTGGTAGTTCAGAGGAAAAGGAGGCCGCCATCAGCACCAAAAACAACCATTTGTTGAGCTTCCTTTATAGCCTTTATGACAAAGGATTGGTGGGAAGTATCTCCTCCACTTTCTTTGTCACACCTGCCACCTTATTTATTTGAGATTGTAACTTCCAATTTCTCAGTGTTAATCATCGCAAGCTGTTTTTTTTTCTTTCATGCACATTTATGGACCATAATGTACTGACCTTAGAAACAAAATTGTGCTGATGAAACAGAGGACACGCTACTAGATTGGCCAACACGCTACAACATCATCAATGGAATAGCTCGTGGACTTCTTTATCTTCATCAAGATTCACGACTAAGAGTAATTCATAGGGACCTGAAAGCCAGCAATATTCTACTGGATTATGAATTGAACCCAAAGATTTCAGACTTTGGCCTGGCTAGAAGTTTTGGAGGAAATGAAATTGAAGCCAATACCATTAAAGTGGCTGGGACATAGTAAGTGATGTGATTTTACCTTCATTTTCTGCAAATGCAACCTTAACATTCGTTGAATACATGCAGTGGCTACATTTCCCCAGAGTATGCAATTGAAGGGCTCTACTCGGTAAAATCGGATGTCTTCAGCTTTGGTGTATTGGTGCTAGAGATAGTGAGTGGATATAAGAACAGGGGGTTCCGTCATCCAGAACACAATCTCAACCTGCTAGGGCACGTAAGTGTCAAAACTATATTACTGCGACTCATCATTTCTCTTTACTCTGAAACCTGTGTCAGGTTTCCATAGGTTTGGTCATGTCTACTGATATTACGCCTTAAATTGATAAAATAAATGAAGAAAAATTGAAAAGAAAACAATGCTGAGAAGGTTAGGCATGTCGGACACGCATCTCTTTTTGGATTTGGATCTCGAAGTCTAGAGAACATTGTGTCAATGCATTTCTTACTTCTAGATACAAAATCTGCTATTGGTAACATGGTTTTGTTTACTAGGCTTGGAGACTATTCCGAGATGGGAGGCCTATGGAACTGGTTAGGCAATCAATAGTTGAAGCAAGCAATCTATCTCAAGTGCTACGTTCAATTCACGTGGCTCTACTCTGTGTTCAGGATAATCGAGAAGATAGGCCAGACATGTCATATGTGGTTTTGATGTTAAGTAATGACAATACATTACCTCAGCCTAAACATCCAGGTTTTTTTATTGAAAGGGATCCAGCTGAAGCAAGTTCAACAAGCGAGGGCACAGCAAATTCAGCTAACAAATGCTCGATTACATTATTACAGGCAAGGTAGATCCCATTTTGCGTTGATATCTTTTGTTTCGTGTTGATGGGTTTGATTTTGCATCTTGGAAGCTGTAGTTCCAATGTTGTGTGGTGAAGGCACATTTCTCAGCCAACGCAACCAGAATCTTTTTTTCCCTGAACGGGAATTTATTTTTGCACTACTATTATTTGTTTCAGCCTTGTGTTAAAAGAAGTCATGGTTTTTCTGTCGGTGTTTATATATATATCGAAAAAGGCCATTACTAACCAAAGTTGCACCATACTATTTTGAACAAAAGAGCACAAGCTTAACATTGATGGGTTGGGCAAATTACAAGATTCATGTATGCTTGATTCAGCACTTGATTGAGCTTAAAATTAATGAGTTTGAAAGTTTATTAGACCCACAAACAACTTTGCTCAATGCTTGACTCAGCCTAAAAATAATAAGTTTAACAACTCATTAAATTCATAAACTTCTAAACTCTATGTTTAGCTAGAACAACCTCCTCAATAGTCATTCTTTTAAACGACAATTTCAATAATAATAATAATAATAATAATCCTAATTCATTAATAGCCCGCCACATATTTGGGTACTATATACAAAGATTTTGAAAGCCTCATGATATCCCTTTTATTTTCTTTATAAGATTTTATGCATCCTTAATGAGATCTCTTTTGTTTTCTTTATAAGATTTTATGCATCCTTAATGTTACTATTAGGATCCCCAAGTCTGGGTGGCTTCTTTTTACTGGGACATGATTTGTGTTGGAGAATGAAACGACAATTAACTTTCAATGCAGTATATGAGTAGTCTTTTAGAGAAATGTAATGACATGAAAAAATTTTCATCCGACTGTGGGGATAAAGAAATTTGTTTTCTTTATAACCCTAGTCATTTTTGTTTTTACCTTTGTTTTATTTTTACTTAGTGATTTTTGATTGAAAAACTACTCTCGCAGAGAAGATTCCTTAGCAGCTCTCCAAGAAAAGTCTTGCAAATACATTCCTAAGACTTTTTTCCACGTATGTGTGAGAAAGAGAATAAGAATGAATGGATTATAGAAACATAAAATTTATTTCTAAATAAAAAAGCACTCTAGTCCTAAAGAGGAGTTCAGGTTTCCAATAAAATCTAAAAGAAATGGCAAGGGGCAGGGGTCCCTAGACTGGGCCTTAAGATAAAAAGGGGTGCCACATTGAGACCTTCCTTTAATAAGAATGATAAAAGATCTTCTCGTAGAAGTCCATCTTCTACCCTTACTAAAAAGGCTTAAGAGAAATGGTCTCATATGAATCCTTCTTATGTGCCCGACAAAGACATTCATGAGAGAAAGAAAAAGAGAGAAAGAGAGAGGTGTTGCATTAGAATCCTAGGGAGGACATCCCTAGTAGTGTATATGCTATAAACATGGAATTCTTGGCTCATCATCAACCTAGCAAGTATATAACTTAAATGCCCTACCTGCTAAGTGTATTAGCAGGCAGATCCTGGACTCTATCAAAGGTTATTTTGAAATCACCACCCTTATATACATGAATTCAATAGGATACTCCTTCTTTCTTTAACAGTTAACGAGGGAAGTGTTCAACTATTATTAGGTTAGTTTAGACTAGTTGCAACCCAACAAGTGGACAATATTGTTCTTCTTTGAAAAATTCTGCATAATCATTGAGCTTGAGCCCATGGTCAATGTTTCAAGAAGTTGTTATCAACTAGTCACGGGCACCGATGGTGGCAATGAGGTGCAATGGTTCCCTACCTTTACTAATAAAAACAATGACTTTATGAAGAATATGTTGACTTAGAAGCCAACACATATTAAGAAGTAAAGGGGAAGATGATTGGGCATAAGATACATTGGGATAATCAGTCCCACAGAAGGACTACAACCAATATGAGGTTGTTTCGACTTTTAAAGGGTCCCTCTCATGGAATAAACAACAAGCCTCAGAAGGACTACAACCAATATGGGGTTGTTTCGACTTTTAAAGGGTCCCTCTCACGGAATAAACAACAAGCCTCATCGTCTAAGCTTGAATGAGAAGAAAGATTGTGTCATATTGGATTTGACTTTGACTAATTATGAAGTTGATGGAATGGACAAATGATATTATCAGGCTATTTTGCAAGGTATGTTGCTACCTTGTTTTTCCTTCTCTCTCTTTTTTTTTTTGTACTTTGCTGTAAACAAAAATCTGACCTTTATTTGTCCCAACATGACTAATAGCTAAAGGAGAAGAAGAATCTTTAAGACAACCTTCTGACAAGGATTTGTTTGAAGGTCTTTGTCTCATGAAACCAGTAGAAGCAGGGGTAAAGACGTGATAGGATCCTTCCCTTTCATTATCGGGGATCTCCTTGCTCTTTGGGGCTTTACCTCTATAGAGATAGTGGTTAGGGTCATAACCTCTATAGAAGTTAAAAGGTCATAATCTTCCTTTATCTAATGAAGTAGTAAATTTAACTCTTCTTGTAATGATTACACTGTTGCCACCCATTTTAAGAGAAAAGGAGTCTCTACCCGAGTGGTTGCTCATGCTCTAGTCTCACCAGTAAAGGCTTATATAATGACATTTCCTCTGCCTCAACTTCATACCTTATCAACTGATAAAGCGACAGCTTGGACTTCTACTAAGGCGAGTACCGAGGAGTTTAAGGGTGTTTTCTCTGATTTGGTTATTGGTCGTTGTTGCACTCAACATTGCAGTAACCTTTTAAAAATTAATCTTCACGAAAAAATAAGTTTTTAACATCTTATTCTTTGATAGAAAAGGTCTCGTTTAAGGAGTCATCACCTAGTATTATAGTCACTAAGAACCCTTATTGATTAACAAAGATTCTATAGTATGGAACTAGTTACGCAAAAGAGAAGATATTATCATCCCTTAAGCGTTCTACTTGAAGTAGACTAAATTGCTGATTTGTTTTAAATTGCTAAAGGTTTGTCATACTATGCTACCGATGGTATGCTTGTAATATTCCTTACTCTGGTGTTAGTGAATATTCAACTACGGATACTTCCAACTCTGATATTGATAAATATTGCGTAGCCAAAAAAATACAGTATTCCTGACTCTGGTGTTAATGAATAATTTGTAAAATTTAAATTAAAAGAAAAAAAATATTTTTTAAATATTTTTATCTTTATTTTTTAAAAGAAAAAATATGTATTGTATATCAGATTCATATCCCATAATGAAAGTTTACAAATCAAATATAATGCTAAAGTTATCAAAACAATACAAAACAAATGTGAGGGACCCATAAATAGACTAATGAAGATTCTTAAATGTTTTAAAAAAATTTTGATATTCAAAAATAACTTGTTTGACAAAATATCAAAATAAAAAAAAAAAAAAAAAAAGGATTGATGTGTTTTTCTAAACATACCTTTGACTCAAATCAAATTAGATTGCCTTAGCTGAGGCTTAGGCCCAACCTGGCTTTAGTTTTTCTTGTTTTTGTAGGTTGGGTTAAGCTCAGTATATACGGATTGGACTAGACCCAACAACTCAGCCTAATCATTAGTCCAAATCAGTAACCCAGCGTGCATAGTGAAGGGTTAATTAAAATTAAAGCTGCATAATGCCTATCTAATTATAAATGGTAGGGGAGGGAACGAAAAGCTTACCTGATCAACAGGAGTTGATGGGCGCAGCCGTTCCTGAGCTCGTCACTGGAATTCTGGGAAGAAGCTAAGATACCACTCTCTACATCTGGCTTCCCTTCCGTTCTGTCTTCTCCTTTTTGCTCTTTTATGTTGAACTCCTCGGGTCTTTCTCTCCGTGTTTCTCTGTTTTATCTCTGTTCTTGTGTCCTTTCCGTCCTTTTCGTTCTCTCTGTCCTCCTAGCTTTTCTCCTTCGTGTCTCTGTTTCCTTGTTGTGTTCTGTATGTGTTTCCCTCTGTATACTCTCTGGGTTTGTATTCTATGTTTTTTTCATCCTCCCTGTCTTCCTTTGCAGTTCCTCCTATATGGCCATGGCCTTGAATAGTGCATATGTTCGTGACTTGGTAATGGCATGCATCGTTGGGGCGTGGGCAGCTGGCGTCTGTTTTTTTTTCTTGGTGAGATTGAATAGTTCATCTTGAAACGACACTGTTTTTTGGATGGGAATGGCCGTTTACAATTTGGTCACTGAAGCTCGAAGATTTTGTAAACAAGCCCTTGTAAATTGCAATAGGACCCTTGCCTTTTAGCGCCATTTACAAAATAGTACTTTGACTTTAATTTCTTTCAATGTTAACCCAAATCAACCTCAAATTTTAGTATTTCTTCAATTAAGCCCCTAATTTCATTAATTAAACTAATTTCAAGTTCAATTAAATCTTTAAACTTATTAATTCTACAATTAAACTTTTGATTTGACTAATCCAATATTTAATTAAGTTCCCAAATTTTCAATTTATATTCTCTTGACTCATATTTCAATTTATTCTTCATTCATTTTATTGATTTTTTTTTCATTTCATTCATTTTTTTCATTTTTTAATTATTATTATAAGAAATAAAATAAGATAAAAATATAACAAGTTAAAGTTTGGGTTATGAAAAATGCTCCCTCTTTATAATATTTATGATGCAAAAACATTGAAAAATTTCGTTTTCTCTTGGCTTTACGGAGTAAATTTATTAAAAAAAAATTAAACAAAACAATTTTTTTTTGCTTCTTTGAAAGTTTTGAAAACTTTGAAAGAAGTAGATTAACAGATAATCTTTACTAAGAGATGTTGAAATCAAGAAATTAGTTATTTGAAAGAAAAACATACATTTATCAATGAAAAATCTATTTTTTTTTAAATATAAAGGTTATTCTGAAATAGTTTCATCGTTATGGGTGACCTATTCAAATAGAAAAAATATAAAAAGAGATTTCATTATAATAGGTGACCTACTCAAATAAAAAAAAATATATGAAAAGCGATTTCATTGTAATGAGTGACCTATCAAGATGAAACAAATGAAAAATGTTTTCGTTGTTATGAGTAATCTATTCAGATAAAAAAAAATATAAAAAGAGTTATATTGTAATGTATGACCTACTTAAATAAAAAAAAATTATGAAAAGTGATCTCATTATTATAGGTGACGTACCCAAGACAAAGATTAAAAGTTTTAAATGGACAACATGACAAGGCTCGAAAGAAGAAATGAGAAGATAAAGGAGTATAAAAAAAAACCAAAACCTAGATTTGGCCGACAACAACCCTATAAAAAAAATACAAGAGG